GAAGCACACATGGATATCTCTTTATCTGGAGGTAATTTACAATATCATCTGGGGCAAAGACACTAAAAGGCAGCATTGCCAGATTTAAAAAAAAAATCAAGATAGTCTCACTCATCAAAAAATATTAAAAGAGAAGTTATTGGCACAACAGACATAAGAAACTTGTGGTTTTCACCAGGCTAGGCAACTTCTTCTGTTGTTCACAATCACATAACATGTCATAAACATAAAACTCAAGAAAGAGTAAGGAGAAGGATTTTTGTTACTGAAATCAGTACATTTCTAACGGTTCCTGAAGTCTGAACATAGTACTTTACTGAGTGATGATGGATTTGCCGTTGCAGTGCCTGTGCAAGACACTCATCAGAAGACTTTTAGGTTTGGTGAGCCTCTTTCATGGACCCTGCTGTAGGTGCCAAAGTACCTCTCTGCATTTTCCCTGTCTTCCCCCATCCCTGTTTTAATCTTAATTTACAAGCAAAGGCTTATTATTGAAGAAACTGAAGGGCCTCGATCTTTCCGTCTTATCTACATTAAGAGAGACACTCACATCAGAGGTAAGATTCCAGGTCAAAAATAATTTCCAGCAGTGCTGGTGCTGATATTCCTGTCCTTGCAGAGCTTTTAAGTATCTTAAGTGTACACAGTCTTTCTGACTGTTAAGTACCAATGCCAATTGCTTTAAAGTAAAATACAAATCCCTGCAAACAAAGGTAAAGATTGTCAGTGGTGTGGTGTAATTCAACTAATAAATAACATGCTCTCTTCTAGCAGGGACAGGACTGCTTACATATTGACTGCACTTTGCTAGCTGCTCTGGTGACCTCAAATCAGAATATCTTTCTCAGATGTGGAGCCAATTATCTTCTGATGTTTGTTTTGTTGGTATTGTGCTCTGCTAAGTCTACCATTCAATTGAGTATTTAAGAGAGACTATAAACATGTTCAGATGAGATGATAGGAAAGAAATGTTATACTTCTAATCTTCCTTGTTAGCTGAAGTAGCTAAATAGGTTTGCAAGTTATGAATATATGCAACAAAACACATTTCATATTAATGGAAAAAAAATGGCACAAAGAGCATGTGGTATCAATTAAGTGTACACGTGTCCCAGGTAATGCAAAGAAATTTTTGAGACAGTATTTGAATTAGTGCACAAAGAACATCTGCTTGAGACTAATACGTCTTCAGCAGGCTACCTCTGCTACCATGGAGATCTTTCCTTTACATTCTTACTGTGCTTTTTTTTCCTAGTGTTTGCATTACATTTTCCAATGTATCATTTAGGTAACCAGATGTCTTGCTTCCTTGCATTCGCATCAGGAGGCAAAACACATTTAACAGATACCAAGTCTGAGGCATTCACACTCATTCTATGAACTCATCTATACTTCAAGAAGATAAAGAGAACAGACACAGAAAATATATAAGCTAAAGGACAATCACTGTTCTCTATCTGCATGTAATTTGGGAAGGAAACCTCTCAAGGAAAATCAAAAGAAAATATTCAAAACTAATAAAAAAGAATTAGCCAACATTTAAAATATGAAAATGTAAGCCAGAAAGGATCTTTAAGACCAAAAATACTCATAGTCTTAAGATTTAAGTCCGAATACTGTGACTATCTAAAAAAGTAAAAAAAGAAAAAAAGCATAGGGACAAAGAAGTAATTAGACTAGAAAAGCTATAAATCCACTTCAAGTTTCAGGACATATGCCAATTTTAGCTAGGACTGATGAAGGTTTAATGTCCATGGGGAAATGACTGTTTCTATGAGAATGGTCAGCCCTCCCTGCCCTCGGCCTGTTTGCCCAAGAGCGGCAGGGGATGACACGCCGCAAAGGCAGGATCTGCTGGAAGTCTGTAACCACGTTATTTGTCCTACCACTCTGTCGCATCATTTGATGGAAATTATTCCTATTCTTATTTAATGGCTGATGTTATCACTCCACAACAGATTGAGTTGGACCCCGCTGCAGTGCTGCCAAACAGTAAAATCAACTACTAATAAACTCAGAGTGAAAGAACGAGCATAAACCTCTTCTTACAATATTGTAATTAAATTCCATAAGTGCTAGTAATTTTAGCATTGCAGTCTGGATTTTTGTTTTGTTTTGAGCCCCTCAGCCATGAGCGGGCACCTCGAGGAAAGCCCGGGTAAGAAAGGGCAGAAAATGTTGGGCAGAGAGAGGAGGAGGGAACAAAAAGAGTGAGAAACAGCGGAGGGAACACCGAGGGAGAAGGAGAAGGAGAAGGAGAAGGAGGAGGAGAAGGTGCTCCATGCTGGAGCAGATGTCCACACTGCGGTCCATGGAGGAACTGCAGCCTGTGGAGACCCCATGCTGGAGCAGGGGGAAAGTGTGAAGGGAAGGAGCAGCAGAGAGAAATGTCTAGGTACTGACCACCCTCCACCCCTCCTTGTGCTGCCTGGGGGGAGGTAGAGGAGTCTGGAGCGAAGGAGTGAAGCTGAGTTTGGGAGAGGGAGAAGGAATGGGGTGGCTTTAATGTTTGGGTTTGTTTCTTACTACCCAGATCTATTTTAATTGGCAATAAATTAAATTAATTTCCCCAAGTCGAGTTTGCTTTGTCTATGACAGTAATTGGTAAGTGATCTCCCTACCTTTATCTCAACCCACGAGCTTTCTCATCCTATTTTCCTCCCCCGTCGCGCTGAGGAGGTAGAGTGAGTGAGCAGCTGGGTAGGCGTCTGGCCCATAGTCAAAGCTAACACACCACAGTTCATCTGTCAGGGTCAGTCAGGCCCCAAAAATGCTCTTCTTTTTTTGTACATTTTTAGAAAAGAGATCTTTGGTGATATTAAACTCTGTGATTACATGCAGGTGTGTGTACACACAAGCACATCCACATTTACTACAAGCATTCTGCAGGGGAATCCAAAATGTACCCCTTAAGAAAAAGAGGTGGGAAAAACCCACACTGGCAAAAAATACCCCAAACCCAAACCCAACTGGGATTAGGACAATAAAGTGTGATTTCTCTTAACACTGACACTATAGCGTTAAAACCCAGATATTGATATTTGTTCACTTGAGAATTTCAGGCTTTTTCTTCTGGAATGGAAGCATTTACAATTATGGGTCAGATACTGCAATGGACATGCTACTGAAACATAACATAGCGTGTCACCGTGGTTAAAGCTGCAAAACAATACTTGGATTTTGACATGAAGGAAGAAATCTCAGGGAGAGGACAGGGGAAAGATAAACCTACTGCCTCCTTTGTTACCTGCCTCTCATCCATCACCTTACAGAACTATGGCCACGCTCGTGAAGGAAAGAGCACTGCATCAACTATGGTCATAACTTACTTGCTGAAAGGCTTCTTAGCAGCATACCTTCTGCATTAGAACAGCTGAACTCATAAAGACATAAGAGCCCCTAGACATAAATAGCCCCTCTTCAAGCTATTTAGGTTAGAACGTGACGTCTTGCAAGTCAACAGAAATGCAATAATAGGTCTCCATTTCTGGAAGTATTTACAGCACGTACAAGACATAGGAAAAACAGCATTGAAAGTAGGTGTTAGATACTATTCAAGCGGTACAACTCCTCAACTCTGACTTGGGATATTTCCTTAGCCATCCCTTTAAATGCAGAAAAATATGTTTGTATTCCTCCTAAGCTACACTATAAACAAAAGCCCCAGGAGAGTTTATGTCCCAGCACTACCTCATACCATTTCATTGGCACCTCTTTTTCCTACAGGAAAAAGGCTGGCTTTTCCTTGAAGGATTTTTTTTTTTTTTTTTTTTAATTTGCTTATTCAACAGTAGTACTCTGACTCCATCATTTTACTCTTATGTCAACAACAAACAGCAATCAAGTATGACATTATATGAGAATTAATTCTTTGCTGTTACATAATAGCAATACCTCTAGGACCTCACTCCAAGGATTTAAAATATTTACAAATACTGTTGCATTATATCTCAGATAAATTCCTGAGCAGTGGCAGCATCCCTACCTTATTGGAAAGACAACTGAAATGTACATTAATTACATTTTCTTAAAACCATGTCCTGGTTAATTACAAGCCTCTCAAGGGAAGAGAGAGAAATTATAAAATCCTGCTTCCTCTGTTTCTTGCTTTAACTGCCAGGCCACCTTTCCTTACTGTTTTACTGCATAGTGATGTAATTGTCTTTCCTATGTGCATGTTTTGCTTTTTTATAAAAGATATTTCTCTCAGCTTTCTCTATGGGAGCTTGTGGAAAGATGTAAAGATACAGAAGTGGGGATTAAGTGACAAGTATACAGATAGTTTTACTCCAGATCACACGCCAAATTCAAATTGCATTCACTTTCCTAGAAATCCTGAAATACCTTGTTCTAGATGGAGTTATATGTTGGATCTATTTCAGAATAACTGAAAGGAGGACAATAATATTTGTAAATTATACTGTGAAATGCTGAAAGGTTTGCCCAAATCTTGAATTAAATGAAATTCTCAAATTCAGCACATTATTTGGTACACTAATAGGCACCAGTAACACCTGGACCACTCAATGGCAAAATTAGAATTTTACTATAAAGTTTTTATATATCAAATTAAATTGTTATCGTGAAATAGTCTCTAAACTCAGAAAATGGTCTTATAAAACATTTAAACAAATGCACAGTTCCCCCAAATTAAAGCATTGATAAGATCAGTCAACTCCTCTAAGCACAATAACAAAAATTTTTGAAAAGACAATCAATCAAACAATACTGCAAACCTCTCAGAGGATCCAGCTTCATGGGGGAAAAAGAATACCAGTGTAGGTACAGACAGTCACTGCACTGGCATTTTCTGTTTCTCAGATAAATGAGGACATTTTACAGCAAGTTAACGCTGACAAAACAGTGTCCTCAGAAGCCTGTGCATGCAAGCTTTTCTCATTTAACTGGTACTCTGCAAAGGCAGAGTGAATTGGCAAAATCAGAACATGTTATTTAAAAGAAACCATTAACTACTGGATTACATTTCCTTGAATACCTACCAAAAGCTGTCCAGCAAAGCAGATAAACAAAATGAAGGAAAGCAAGAGAAATGCAGCTCCAAATGAAATTCCAAGAAGAGATGTTCTACAAGAAAAGGAAAACATGTATTAATTTCTCTGTTACACATTTGTAGTATGACCTTCCTTTGTGTATAATACTGATGATACGAAAAATTACCATGTGCAAGTTGCAACTTCCAATCCTCAACACTGTGGAAAAGCAATTCCAATCCTTACCAGAATGACAGGCCTTTTTCCTGCCATTTTGTCAACTCAGGAATGCTTGAATTGGCTTTAACTCTGACTTTGTAAAACTATTACCATGAGAAGATAATAATTTCCACACAACTAATTTAAATGACAGAGTGCATTAACAGCAGCAATGTTTTGTTTTTACTTTAGAAAGCCTGTATTAAAGAAGCTTCTTATTGCTTTATTTTTATGCTGTTGATTTTATAATAATTTAAGAGTCTAATAGATACACAAAATTAACTTGTTGGTAGTATACATTCCCCTGCAAAGGTAGAAAAGCAATAGCATGGGACAGTGATGTCCAGTTTTCAGTGTCTTGTGGCTAGAACCTGTGGTATCTGTGGTGCTGCAGCCTCTCAGTCAGCAAGGGCCCTAATACAGTGACTGCTATTTCATGAATGGATTAGGTTTCAACACCTCTGAAAACTCCATTTTGTATCAAATTTGACTGGCTGGCCAGTAGATTCTGAAGTATCGGAGGACAGGATAGAACGAAAACTAAACACCATGAAGAAAAAAGAAAAACAACAACAGACTTTAGATTAAAAAAATTGAGTAATCTATACTCTCCCTGAAATCATCCTTACTCACATGTTCTAGCTCATCCTTTTCTTGTGTGTTATAAATAGGAAAGTCTACCCAAAATAGCATCAGTGGATACTCAGTAAACAGAAGCAGGGATACAGTAACAATCCGTGCATGCATTCATTCCACAAATGTGGAAATCTCTCTATATGAATACCGCAGTTGAGTGTAATTGCTCCATCAGGCACCACATGAGAGCTACTTAGCACAGCTGCCTAGGGAAGGATGCGGTGGGACCTAATTATGTTTAATGAATGACAAGAAGAGATCAGAAGCTCTGGACGAACTGAGTTGTTTAAGCAAGGGAACTAGATGACATCATGAAGTCTCTCACCTGAGCGTCTACTTTCAGTTTTAACCACAGATTTGACATTTTTACAGCATTAAAAAATATCTCTCAACTCCTTTGAGCACCAGCAAATATCTTATTTTATCAAACCTTATATGCTAGAAATATTGGCATGCCATTCTACAAATAAGTTTTATATCCCTTGCTTTTTCCACAAAACTGTAATAAATGTTACATTTTAAGTTAGCTCCTCCATAAACATATGATTCAGAATTAAAAAACATTATTAATAAAAGCCTACATCTCTTCTTGAGAGATGCCAATGTAAATTCAAATATATACATTTTAGAAACTATAATACTAAAAATTCAGGAGTAGAACTCTATGGAACAATTTCCTTAGATTACGTACAAATATTGGAAAATATTTTGATCTAACAACAGTGTTAGAGAAGCTATTTTCAGGAATGAACAAAAAAGCATTAACTTCACAAACCAATTTGATGCCGTACTGCTGCCATTAAAAGCATTTTGGAGAGTAATTTAGGAGCTTCCCTGCCAATCATTCAGAGCACCTCTTATATGCTAATTATTCATCAGATTTTGGGCTGATGTGAACAGCTGATGAAAAACAAACAGCTGGCAATTCACAACATATATTAATCTTGAAATAATGTTTCGTTTAGAAGTTATTTGAAAATCATTATTGCTTATGAATACATGTTCTCCAAGAACTTCTCATCGAGACTGAGACAGTAAACTGTACATCAGAATATGTAAAACTAAAGTCTCTACTCTTCGGAATTTAAAATCTAGTAAGCAACAGAAGAGATGAAGGAAAAGGAATATAATTAACAGGCTTATTTTTTATATATGCCTAAACACATCCAATCATATATGTCCTTCATATTCAAGTAACGATTCCTGCATTTCAAACTATTGCTATTCTTTCTCTGATATGAAGGATACAAAAAAGGAGCCTGCACACCTTAAGAAATGATTCAACACAAGAATAGCCTTATGAGTCAAGTTTGGAGTGCATCCTGGTAGAAGAAGTAATGAAGATGTTTTTGAGAGAAACTGGAGAGCAAGGAAAATAAAATTAACATGGCATAAGGAGAGCTTATGCAAACAGTACTTAATCATGTGGGCAACAGGCAAGAACTAAAGGCCTTTGTAGCTGTTTTACATGATCAATGATGTTATTGAAGTGGCACAAGAAAAAGAATTACATAGCAAGTTGAACAAGATTCTGATTATCAGGACAAAGAGAAAAGGACTGAGGATAAGGAAAAGTGGTATCTTAAAATCCAGATTTGAGCTGTGAATACAGAGAAAAAAGTTGTAAGGTTTTGGTCCCCACACCCTCTTCTTTTCTGGGAACAGCAGGACTTCTGCTTCAGTTAGGCTAAGCTGAAATAGTTTCACACTGCTCTGTTATGGGTTTGTGTGGCGGGGTTTTTTTGGTAGTGGGGAGGGGCCGCAGGGCCGGCTCCTGTGAGAAGCTGCTGGAAGCTCCCCGGGCTCCAAGCCGGACCTGCCTCTGGCCCAGGCTGAGCCCGTCAGTGACAGTGGAAACACCTGTGGGAGAACAGATTTAAGAGGGGAAACCTGCAGGGAGTTGGGGGATTGGGATGTGAGGGGAGCCCCTCTGTGGATACTGAGGTCAGTGAAGGAGGAGGGGAGCAGATGCCCACCTGCAGCCCGGGGAGGGGCCCATCCCAGAGCAGTGGGTGCCCCCCAAGATGGCCGTGACTCCATGGGAAAGCCCGCGCTGGAGCGGTCTGTGATGGAAGGACTGCAGCCCACGTGAAGGACTCGTGTTGGAGCAGGGGCCGAGTGCGGAGTCCTCCTCCCCCTGAGGAGGAAGGAACGGCAGAGACAAGGGGTGAGGAACCGACCCCAGCCCCCGTCCCTGTCCCCTGGGGGGAGAGAACTGGGAGTGGGGCTGAGGTGGGAAGGAGGGAGGGGTGGGGGGAAGGTGTTCCAAGGTTTGGTTTTACTTCCTAATGTCCTTGTTTTGATTTGATTGGTAGCAGATTAAATTGACACGCCTGCTTTCAAAGTTTTTAAGTACTACCTTTTCTACAAAGAAATTCAGCTGTGCCTGACTGGAAATACTATGCTAAGGCCTCCTAACCACCTTCCATGGGTAGAACAAGATGGTTGTTATTTTGGCATGACTCAGGACAAAAGGACCTGCTTTCTTGAACACAGCAGCCTCAGAGAGCAAAAGCTGGGGAAGAATCTTAAATGCAGCCCCAAATAAATCCCTTACTCGAACAGCACAAGAGGTAATGCCTATTCAATGGGAATATACTTTCATCAATTCACCAGTCTGCATTTCAAAGAACAACACTACCAATTCCATGTTAGTTGACTGTTTCCCTAAATAAAGAACATAGGGTTGTCATGAATTACTAGAGATGCTTCTGTCACTCGGTAAACCAAGAATGCTAGAGAGCCACTGAAGGCCTGTTCTGAGGAAATGTAATGATCAAGATTTGCTGGCATTTTAATGTCACAATAATGACTTACATTTCACCCCAAGATATTGTTTACTTGATTAAATTTATATTTACCACTTTGTGTAAAGTTTATTATGAAAATACTACATCAGTTTATTGACACTGGGAAAATTAAAACATTAGTAAATTGTTTCAGCCTTGAAATAAACGTCTTGTGATCTTGGAGATATTACTTGCAACTTGCTGGATGTTACTTACTATGAAATATCTCCAAATCTACTTTAAAGCAGCAGGTGGTGTGCCTGCACAGAAATCAATGACATTACACTGCTGCAAAACCAGATTACTGGAACAGTGAATCAATAAACCCCAATGACAGATGTCGTTTATCTCCCTGTCTTCATTAGATCACCATTTAAAAATCCTGTAGAATTTTTGGAAGAAAACAAAAAGGCTAGAATTTTAGACTAAACTACAATTTACTTATTTTTTATTTATTTATTTTTTGCTGGAAGGAAATAACATTTGTGGCACTGGAGTATGTTCAATTTCAGCTACATTTGTGATGACTACATACACTGCTGATTTTTCAACTTTTTTTTTTAACTTGCAATGCTCCCAGTTTTCCAGCAAATATGCAGATGCCTGTATAATAACTTGCCTTTATGTCTTCCATTTTTCCATCTCTTAAATTAATCCACAGACCCCCTGAAGCTGAACACCATTAATGTTGGTAATACCTGATTTTACACTCTTGCTTTTACAATTTAATATGCAGCCCTATAAAAGGACCAAAAGATAATTTACATTTTGGTAATGAAAATGGTAAATCCTGTGTATCTTTTGCTCTGATGTTAGAAAGAGATCATGTGATATCAGCATATGCTTTTACAAGTTGGAGGACTCTTTCCTTAGTTGAATACAGCTCTCTAGAGTTCACCAATTTCAAGTATCTGATATATTTTAATGAGCTACACAATTGGTTTAAGAGATGTAATAAGGATATAGCAAATTGAGCATCTTACTGCATGTATGATAAGTGATAAATCTACATTCATTTTCATGACTGAAATCAAAACATAAAAACAGATTCATAAATCATACTGCTGGAAGGGACTAGTTAGATCCAAGTTTGGTTTTTGGTATATCACAAATCATGAATTTCCCTGAATTAATTCCTGTACTAATCAAAATATAGTATGAGCTTGTAAATTATACTTATGCAAAATGACAAATAAAATTAGTCATGAGTCTTAATTTCATATTTTGCAACAGTAATGCCTAAAGTCAGACCGAACCATGTGCAGGATACTGCTGAACTCTTGATAGAGTGTCCCTTTGTGGCTTGTGCCTCCGTGTTAGAAACTAGCTGGGAAACCCTTTGCAAGGAGAATGCTGTTAAGATCTGAATAGAAGTCCATAAAACTTTATACATGTTATAAAACAAGTCTGCAGTATGGAAAGTCAATTTATAATGACCTAACAGTTCCTTCTGGCTTTGAATTAAAATGTGAGTAAGTACTACAGCACAAGACCAATCAATCAACTGAGGTTATAAATACTAGTCCTCAAAGTGCTACACAGGAGAAAAGACTATGAGTGAAGAAATACTGTATCACAGGGAATATACAGTGTTGGCTTTGGAAACAATTGCTATAAAACAAATATCAACTTTCTACTATGTAAACAATCAACAGAAAAATTCCATTTTAAGAAGTCTAATAAAATATTCTTTATTGGAACTGTATTCCAGTTTTCTCAGCCTTTCCAGAATATGCATAGATAGAAAGACAGCTGATTTATATGCATGAATATAAATTAGTTCATAATATATACATTCTGATAAAAATAACTATTCCAGCAAATTATTATAATATTTTAAAATTAGTTTTTAAAAGACACATTTTATGAATAGTAATGCTCTGTTTGCATGCTAAATAGAGCAGTATCATCAGAGTAATATGTTAAATACATTTATTTAATCACAGTCCCAATTCTGCAATCCATTTTATCCCACTTCAACGTCCAATTGTCACACTTATTTTACATGGAAATTTAGCTGCACAAACTTATAGCTTGTATTACTTTTTTTTTTTACACATATGAATTTCATTCCTGTCATCATCACACATTTTTAAAAGCAAAAAGAAAAACTAAAATGAATGAAGAATTGATACTAATGCTTGGCACCACACTATTGACAGTGTTTAAAATTAGAAACAAGCCTAACTTTGAAAATGGGCTGAAATCCTGAATCTTCTCTGTTCAATTTCATTTCCATGAATTGACCTCTGTAATCTAATAATTAAAAATTTTTTTACTTATACATTTTTATTTTTTACATTAATAACCAATATACATAGGAATAAGTACACGTTAAATACCACTTACTTTGGCAATACCAGAATCTGCACAACAAAAATGCAGAAGAATATGAGACAGGCACAAGTCACATAATACTTAAATGCAGGCAGAGTAGTTGCTCGATACTAGAAGAAAAAAAAGCAAATGTTAAAAAATACAATTTCCAAAGCAGGTAAAATATCACCCAACTGAAATTTCAGCTTAAAGATGCAGATAGGTATAGGTAGTCTTTAGCAACAGTAAATTTCCTGTTGTTCAATGACTTCCACATCCACTTACACAGGGCTAGGGATTGTCAGGCATAGCATTGAATCCTTTTACTTCCTGAAGAACAGCTTAAGTAGCCACGTCAAATGGTTTTGCCTTGTTCCTCTGCAGAACAGGACTATCCCAAATTCATCATAAAAAGTTTAACTTAAAAAAAAAAAAAAGTGAAAGCATTTTTAAAAATATTTTTAGGAACTTTGGACCTTGAGCTGCTGTTGAAATCTCAAAAAATTCCAACCCACTTGTAAATTCATTTCAGTGTTTCACACTTCTCCAGACATTTCCCAATTAAGTCAGGTAACTCACTCCTTAGGTTAAATAATTATTTTGCTTTATTACCTTGCTGTACTTTCAGGTCCTACAGGCCCTAAAAAGCTCCTGTTTAAATCAAAAGCAGGCTTCTGACTGAGTTCTTTAAAGTCAAGACTGGACTGGTGAGTCATTAAAAGAGACTGAAGGAAGATATTAAAAAGCCCGATCTGAAAGAACAATTAGTTCTTTGCCGTTCCATAGCATTCTAAAGTCTAAAAGAGATTAGGCTCCTACAGGGACCATCGACACATCCGAATAACTTAGTTTCCTGATTTTCTCCCAAGTCCTGATGCCCTGATTGTCCAAAGTGCACATATGATGGTTTTCTCTCAAGTTCTCTTTCAGAATTATCAGTTAGTACCACCCACATTAAAATCTGAATGTGCTTCTAGGCACCCCTTTGATCCACTCAGTGTACCCTTTCAACACTACAGATGCAACCACATCAGGTGTAGCTGCTTCTCTCTCATGCCATCTTCTAAACAGCCTCAAGAAGCCTTGAAATCTCTTTCACCCAAATGCCTTGCCAAGGGTGTACAACACATGCCTTTGGCAACTGGCCGTAAGAATACTATTCTGCTCAGCCGTGGAAGAATCTGAAAATTATTTCAGATGCCTTGAACTAAAAGATATCTACAAAAATAATTAAATATGTATTTGACCACCACACAGGACCCAGAGGATACTTGCACCTATGCTGTACAGTGTGAACACAGTACGGTAATACTTCCTCTACCCCATTCTCATCAGGTTCACTCACTTATCCAGCCAGTTGTGGTCAACCCTACCTCTTCCCTGAAGGACAGCATAACTGTTCAGCTATCAGCTATCCTATGCTTAGGGTAGAAAGCAGAAAGAGGCAACCCTCCAGTCTTCCTGCTGAAGCTGTGTCAGTATGTAGAAATACACTCAAGCTCTACAAGGCCATAAATCAAAGAAAAGGCCTGACTTTCCAGGCGAGTGGTCATGACAATCACCTAAAAGGGAGGGATCTTTCATTCTGATCATTACTCCAAGGACTAGAAACAATATCATTTACTCCATCTGTACATACATGTCTCAAACATGTTTTATCAAACATATTAGCCAGAAGAACACTTAAGTGTGTTGCATCCAAGACAGCTAGGCATTTTTCTTAAAAAAACATTTATAGTGTTGTTTCCCTGGAATGACTGTGCACAGCAAGTGCATATGGAGAAAACTAATGAATAACTGATATCATTACAAGACTATCATTACTACAGGTGGAGTCTTTGAGACATGGTTAAAGGAAAAAAAAAACCCAAAACCAGTGGAGTTTGATAAATGCCTTTTGAGGATGTAGGTGATGGAACTTAGGAATTCTTTGCTCCAGTTACATCAAATTTGGACTAGCAAACCTCCTCCCACTTCTGCGAGTCCATGAAAATTTCAAGAAATTCAAATGAACTGCAGAGCCCTACAAACAGGAAAGCAGTCTCAGACATCACATTCATAAAATTTCTTCCATAAATGAACTAAAATATTAATGTAAGGTTTGAGCACTTCTCCCTGCAGGTGAGGTGCTGTGGCAATGGCTCTGTGTCACAAAAATAAGGGATACGAGCCTCGCTTAGGATGAGGCAAAGAAGGAATCAACTGTGAATTTGCAGTGAAAATAACTTACTTCTTTTTCCAGAGTCTTATTATAGAAAAGAAGTGATATTCTTTGAATGTCTTCAGATTTAAGCCACTGCCTAGAAGAGAAAAGGAACATTATAATTGACATAAGAATAAAGTAGTCCTGTCTTTTTATGAAATGCAGTAAAATAAGAAAATCACTTTGAATAAAGCAAGTTCTTGTGTATTGCAATGTGTATGGTGAATTGCACTGACAGCAAAAGTGGAAACTACAAATCCCCTCTCCCTTTTGGCTTCTACTGCTAACGTACACATGAAACAAAAGCTCAGATGAGCCATTTTTTCTGTGAATCATTCCTAAGGACAATCAAGGGAGAGATTTCTATGATGTAATTCTGACACTGATATTCCACTCATGTCCAAAACACTATTATTATATCCAGCGCACAGAAGAGAACCTGAGATGAAAACAGTCCTTCACAAGGTACCTTTAAGAAGCGCACTGTTACAACATGCAAGAGTGGCAGGTAAATCACACTTTATGAACTTCTATTCTGAATGAAAATGTAAAAAAAACTTATTAAAAGAGGTGGGGTGATTTTGTCTTTGAGCTGTATTAGTCTCTTGACCATGACCCTGTACTCTAGAGGTAGATTTTGATCTTTTTACTGATTATAAAAAATTCTTGTCTGCTTAAAGGTGAGAAATACTAAATAAAATAAGTAGTTGCACTGAAGTGACAAAACTATTTTAAAAGAAGTGAATCTTGACAAAACCTTGACAAAACCTTTACAAAATGAAATGTTCTAATATGAAATTCTACATTTATTTTAATGGACACTTGGAAAGAAACAGAGTATTTAAATTTTAAGAGGGTTAGGTTGTTTGCACCTTAAGGGGACTAGACAAATTTGATGAAAATATTTCAGCAGACTACTTCTGTGAACATGCAACATTTGAGCTTGACCAATAATAGCAAGGCTTTTTTGCAACCTTTCAAGCAATAACTTTAAATCAGGCTCTAAGCTAGTAGTGTAGCTAATGTCTTCTAAATAAAAGGGAATCTGTCTCAACTGACAGGCTGCAATGCAAATAAGTAGCAGCAACAAACCACAGTGGAATATATCCTAAATTAAGGTCCTGGGAGAACAGGATTGGACAGAGTGGAGTGTAAGCTATTAGCTTTGATTTATGAAATCTGAAATATTTGTTTCCTTGCCTGTGAGACTGTCCCTGTTCCTGTGCAATCAGTTTCATTATAAAAAGGTGCTGAAAACATATTCAGCTCTAGGTATGTTTAATTAAAAATATATTTCCCAGTTTGCTCTGCAGTGGCTATGTCTGATCACAGGATTCTGAGAAGAAACAGATATGATAGGCTGTTGTACATATAGCATGATTTTGTTTGGGTCCAGCTGTAACCTACTGGAGAAAACATTCAGTTTGTAGAATATTTCTGGCAAACTGTGAAAATTAAGTGCAAGTCTTTTCCCATTCAGTTATAGAAATCGAACAAAAAGTAACCCTCTTCTCCAAATTGTTAACTCATTTCCCATTTTTTTCTTATGGTACGTGACAGGCAGATTGATTTAATTACCATTACCACACTGCTAAAAAGTTCTGTCTGCAGACCTACTCCCAAAAGCCTAATCTGGTCTGTACACACTTGATCGCATGTAAAGTCAGTAGTGCCAGTTAGAGCAAATGCTGCCTCATACTCCACATTTACAAGCTTACATTTTCTGGAGCTTTTAGTTCTACTTTAAAGCCCAGAAAAAGCTATACTGGTCTTAGGTAGCAGGTGCCGGGAGGTCTGATATGAGGGAAAGAGTGTAACACAGACAAATGGAAGTGGAGAGTAAGCACAGAAGCGGGAGCACAAAGCCACATACCTTTGGCACAGAGAAAAGGGCTGAAAAATTCTGCCTACAGCCTGAGTCCCTGATGAGCCTAAAAATTACCAAAGTATCTGCAAGTATGTGGGGATATGCCTCCTGGGAAGCTAGGTACCCAATTTCTGTTTATGTTCCTTTGCAATTTAAGGAACAACAGAGCCAGCCAGCTGAATTCTGCCTGTACCCACAGAGATGAGGGGTTTAATAGGGCTTGTCCTGACTGACAATGTACAGCAAGGAATTTTGCACAGAACAGAGCAGTCACCATGACTTAAAGAAAAAAGAGAGGAAAGAGTGTGTGTCTCTTGAACATAGCAACCCACTTAGCAAAGAGCAGATAACTTTAGTTTAGATCCCTCTGTAGGTATACATTTAAGTAGCAGATTGCTATCCATCCATCCCATGTCCTACAGAAGTCCCCTAACCACCAAGGTTCAGGGTGCCATAGCTAGGGCTGCTCATCCTCCTCCTCGGCAGGACGGGCACTTTGCAGCCAGGAATACTTTGTTCAAGGTACAGGGAAAAGAAACGCGGAGAAAGCATGATGTTACACCCTCATGGCTAAGGCACTCCGCTGACAGACAGAAGCAATTTTGTTCCTTGCTTGCTCTTTTAAATCTATATTTACGTATCTTTTAATGTAGTGCTCTAACAGAATAATAATGAATAAGCACGTCATAACTTTCCTCACTGCAACTTTGCAAGGAGCACTGCCAACTAAATGTACTGCTCTGAATCACGCTATAAGGCCAGCGGGCTGCTTTCTAGATGCCACAGTTTCATTTGCATTCCAGAAGAAGGAATTGAACCCAGGTGCCCCGAGTTACCGACGGTGTGTGCATGTGGCGCTTGGCAGTTTTGTGGAAAGATAGCTAAGCTAGCTTGTGAAGCAGCAAGAGAGCAGGGAGGGAGGGAGCCCAGAGAAAACACTATGCTGCTTTAAAAACTTGAGGCACCACTTCAATAGGTACTGCGCTATTTTACACTGTGTAAGAACAGTGATTCACTTGGACTACAGCTTTGTCTTGGACTAAGAAGATCCAGACTCTACATTCCCTTATCTTCTAGTTACTGGCTGTTAAACACCTGGGAACGTAATGTCCAAAGACCCACATGTTATGACCATTTGCTTGCAACCAGTTACTTTTTTCACAGAATGACACACTAAGGGGATGAGAAAGTCAGACCGTGCTGACAGCTCAGGGTGGAAGAAACAATGTCTCTGTACAAGGAATGTTTGCCTTTGAATCATTTTCATGCAATTTTCTAATTGAAAAGGTTAAAAGAATGGTAATTTTAATACCACATTTTATGTGCAATAATGTTTTTTGTTTTTTTTTTAGTTTTCTTCATTCAGTCATAGACTTTACACTTAAAAACATTTAGAAATACCAGATTGTCCTAAGTTTGCTTCTTGATTCAGAAAAGCAAAAGATTTAGCTTCACAACCACTCCATTAGATTAATAGATAGTGTTATTTTCATTTTGCAGCCAAAAATTGAGGCACAAAAAACCTGCACAATTATAAAGAAAACAAAAATGTGATTAGTTTTGTGTCCTAAATGTAGGAAATCTTTTATCTAATTTTTCCGAGTGCTTAGCATTCACATAGTTAAAATATTATTGAATTAACTTGCCATTTGGAGAATCAGCACTTTTGACAACTTATTCTCAGGTATCAGACTGAAATGATATAATTTAAGTGATTCATTCAGCAAATCAATACAGGGATAGGTAGAGAATCTAGTTTTGGAAGGTGGCATTCAGTCTCTCTGATATATAAGATCATTCCTTATCTTTCTGCAATTCCCCATGTAATTCACAAGATGCACTGAAACTTTTTCAGAAAGCTTTTTTATCACACAGATGTCTTCTATCCCCAAGCTTCTCTGAATTTTATGCACTAATTAAATAAGACAGGGATTCTCTGAGATAAAAGAACATACAGTATGATCACACCAATACTTTATTTTAACACATTTATACAGATGCTTTACTTTTGACATCAAACCATCATTGTTGCAATCCACTTATCAGAGCAAGTGTACCTGAAGACACATAAAACTTGCCAAAATTTATATAGCTGTTTTAGGCAAGTCTAGTATAATCAAAATGCTTTGCCTATCACATGACCTACCCTCTTTCACTGTATTCTTTGTATGACCTATAACTATCAACACTTTTCTGTAAATAATTACTAAAAAACTATTTTCCTAAAGCCAAGTACCTTTTAATACTACCATCAGATGCAAAAAACCAAATGTGACATATAAGCATTTAATAATTAGCTGTAATACTCAGCTGATTAAGATTCTGAGTAACAGAAGTAGGGGGGAAAACATGTAATTCATCACAATTACTGTCCACATTTTTGAAGGGCAATTCCCTTATTTCATCAGATAAATATAAGAAACCTGAACACTTATTTTGGACTGGTATTGATTTTTCTCTGTCTTATCTATTCACCAGCAAACGGAGAACATCAATACCGCCTCCAGCTCTGCCTAGGACACAGAAAAAATACATGCCATGTTGCCTCCCCCAACAATTTCAATATGCCATCAAGCTTAGCCTTCTCTAAGAAATCAACCAACCAGTTGCAACAAAGAGATATTAAACTAAGACTTTAGGGAAAGTTTCTAATTCTGAGATGTTTCTGTGACAATTGTGAAGCACCAATTTTCACGTCATTCTGATTCCCGAGCCAGCTATTTCTTGTGTCTTACTTCTCTGCTCTCAGATGAGCTAATTCTGCAGAGTTACAGCTATGAGTGCACAGATACAAACAGTTACAGAGCAAAAATCCTTTTGCCATGAAGATCAAGACAAGCCAAAAACTGTCACACCATGATTCACAGGCACTGTCTTATCCTATATAGTAGAAAATGTTACTGTACAGCCTACCTTCACAACATGCAGAGCTTCCTAGTGACACCTTTACTGTTTTCAGGCTTCTGTGTGCATGCGGGAGTGACAAATATTAAACACCCTCTGTTAAATAGTATAGTACCCTCTGTTGCAGATTTATGTCAAAGTTGAAGGAAGAAGAGAACAGAGGATAAAAACATACTTTTGAGCATTGATTCCATCAATGGCCTGGATCATCCTCTCATTCAGCTCCTCCTCAAACCTTCTTTTCTGTGATTTCGTTCTGAAATGAAAAATGTGGGAAGTTACTTTGGAAAATCATTACACTGTCAATAAACATTAACTTTAAAACAATGGGGTGATAGCTGGCATAAACTTGTGAGGATAACCACAATTTTTTAATATTTATGCTGCAATAGCAGCTATAGGCTTCAGGGACACTGAGCCTCATAATAAGCTCTTAACAAAGACAGCATAAGCTACAGTCTGACACACACACACACAAAAAAGAATCCAGAGTTTAGCTGTCACAGAGCACTGAAAAAACAAACACAAGAAAACATTTTGTAAAAAAAAAAACAAAACAAAACAAGAGAGTTCAAGAAATTCTGGTTGAAGGAAAGTCTTCCACAGTGTTATGAATTCATGAAAAAGAATGGGAATATGCTCAAATTCATAAAACATTCCTGTTTCTTGTAGTTATTTTTAAAAATCCTTGTCAGAATGGTATGATGAGCAATAATGTGCTAGTGCACTGAGGCATAATAAGTATTCTCGACCGAGAGCCTGGTAACACTTCTTATCTTGGAAATATTTTATTATTTTTAATAAGAAAACTCAGTACCAAGTCTGAAATTAGTTTCAAACATATGCCATGTTTCTCTATTTATAACTCATAACACAACTGCAATGAAAAAAGGATCTTTTCACTGGACTCGGCATGAACCCAACAGAGGATCATCAGAATGGGTTTGTCTTTGCTAACATATTTTACTGCAAACATCATCAGTCCTTTCAGCAGTTATGCTTTCCTTAAAAATGGAATATTTCAAATATTGCCAGATTATGTCTCTGCCTCTTGAAAACTTAAATGCAGTGTTAACTCAGTAACAGTGTTTTGTAAGAAGTCAACAGTCAGATCTGAAATTTGACTCTTTGCTTACTGAAATTTTCTTAACCTACAAATTAAACCCTGTCAAAGGTAACACGGATTTTCTTCAACATCAAGCTTTGGGTTATGTCCCCAAAACTGATAACCCGTTGGAGGATTCAAATTCATACAGAAATGGTATTAGTGTACTTACAGTACCTTTAAACAACCCAACTGATTTCATGCCTATTCAATGCTACCAAACTTGGGTAAGAAAGTGTTTACAACTTATTTTTCACATATGAAACAATCTGCCTAGGAGAAATAACTAGACAGGTGAGGAGACATTACCTAATCACACTTGATCCTCTTGGCAGATCTCTAACAACATAAGACTACCATGTAACTAGGTAAGAGCTAAGCCTGCCACAAACAGAAGCCTACAGTCAGGCTTCAAACCCCACATTTTCATATTCTAATAAAATACTGATTTTCAAAGTGCTTATTATCATTTCAGCTGTCTCCTGTGGGAATGACTAACTAGCTAATCTAGTATCCTAGTTCTATGCCTCACTATGGACATTAGACTCCAGTAATGTTTCTAGAAACTCCTTCCATAATATGGTATCAAGACACATGGTAACATCTGTACCTTTTGGATATATTTTGGAGTGGACTTTAGAAAACAAAAGCAAGAACATCTCAGAACCTTAAAGAATTGCATTATTTGCAAATACCACAGTCCAATGATCTTTTTTTTTACCATAAGGCTGATGGAAGTCCTTTTGACATACTGTCCAAACATAAATGCTCAGTTTTAAAATCAGAAACTGTTTTTATTAATATGCATATTCAGTCAAAACTTGTTCATCTTCTGGAATTTAGCAATATTTTACGTAATTGCATAGGTCTCCAGTGATTTGTTGAGGAGACAGTTACCAAGCAGAGAGATGGGGAAGGAACAGACAGACACACTTGTTTGCATAACCAAAGACAATAAAAATACAAATTTTTTTAAGGGTTCTTTCAAACAATTTTATGCTATTTGTGATTTTACTTGTAATTTTGCAAGAAAGACTTTATCTGAAGTGTTACCAGTGTTTAAAATAAAAAATAACCATTCCAGGTTTCTGACAGTGCTAAGCTTGTTTTTTAAACAGATGTCATTCAACCCTGTTTCCATATCTCACCATCTTGCCCTAGTCATTAAAGTACCAAGCAGGAGAATGAAAACTTAGAGCTATTGTGATAATGCAAACATTTTGTGTAGCAAGAGCACTACAGGAAGACCACAAAATACCTTTTGAATGTTTACTACTGCAAATGTACTACAGACTCTGAAATAATAAACCACAATGCAAATACAAACCAATTAACAAAATATATAAATGTCTTTTTTTGTACATATTATTAGCTGATGTGACACAAATAATATTAACAGCCCTTTCCATCTTCCCTCTTCTTACCCCTCTGTGACTCCTCTCAGTTTACCTGCATATAATTTTCTCCCCACTGACAGAATAATTGGGTTGTTAGGAGAAATGAATAGTAGCCCATCAACATGCTTATACTAATTCAGAATAATGCTATTTGTTATCAGGAAGTTTATTTGCAGTTCCTAAGTAATATGTCTGCCAAATCTGTTCCATAGCCCTTCTCTATGTAAGAGTTATCAGCTGAAAAAATAGTTTGGGTGAGAAATGGCCCTCAATACTTGAAAGCATGCCTTATATATATAAGAATGCATATGAATGTATATGTATTTATATGGACTTTATATGAATAAGTGATTTTTTTAAATTAATTTACCTCTCTCTGCAACGCTGAAAATGATATTGCCCCATGGGAACATCCTAAAAACCAAAAGAAAATACCTATGAACTTTAACAGACTTTGAAAACATTAAGTTGCTTTAAAAATAGTGTTGAAAACAGGGTCAAGTAAGGAGAAAAGTTTCCAATACAAATACTTTTAGCTTTAGATTAAAACTGTCTAAAAGAAAAATCCAGCCAAGAGTGAAGATGGAGTGACCTGGAGACAAACTGATCTATCATTACAAATAAGTAATACAACAGTCTGAATCCAAGAATGTTTTGCTTTACTAGAAAGTCACTGCATCAAAGTCACCACTGTTTTAATGTAGCCCAAACTGCTGCCAGCTTCAGCAAAAACCACTGTTACGTGTTTTTGAAAAAAACAGACCTGAGTGGCCAAATACAGGCAATGGTCATTATTTTTATTGATAACCAATAGCGGCCATCTCAGCCACATTTATTTTGTGATTACTAGTGATGGCTGGGTACCTTCTGTAATGAACACATCACAATCCGCATTCTGATGTACTGTATTTATTGAACAAGATGGGTTAGGTGGCTCAGTCCTATGTTCTCCCATGTAACAGGAACAAAACTGAATGCGAATGTTAAAAACTATCAGAATTTACCTTTATGTTTGCACTTTTTAGAGGTGGAAGATAATGCAATGTACAAGCTGTAGACTGACAGTGCCTTACTGACAGTAGTAAAATAGTGTTACCAAAATTAAAAAAAAATCTTTTCTGTTCAGTTTAAGAGTTGTAACATTGCACTGTAGTACTGCGAAACTCAGGCTGTCAGCCATAGCTGATGAGTGGTTAGTGCACCTTCAAAAGGTAGGTGTTACAGCGAGTATGGTTCCCAGAGAACTCTTCTAATGAAGTCTACTCCAGGTAGCACAGGGATATTCTAACTTCACAGCCTTTGCTCCAGGTTTGGCCATGTTCCAAATGGAAAATGTGGCTAAATAGCCAATAAATCTCAGGGAATGTCTCTGTATCAAAAAGTGTTTCTTCCCAAAGGTGCTGCAACCTGGCTTTAGGTTCAAAATGTCTTTCCACAAGGTGAACAGCAGCCACTCTACATGCTGTGACTGGGACTTAAGCTCAAAGGGTAAAATGGTGTATTTTAGTAAGTACGTTGGACTGCTCACAATTCAGAGATGCGCTTATAGCAAGACATGGCTCCTTAGAGTCTAATCCAAAGCTCACATGCCAATGGAAAAGCTCCCAGCAACTTCACTGGGTTTATGCCCTGTACAAACATGTCTGTCTTCTTCTATCAGAAATAATCAGGTATTTAGCAGTGAGCACCTTTTCCCTTTCAAATACTGCTAAATTGTATGAAATGACATAAGTAGGCCCCTACTGTTGTGCTAATCTTGCCGTTTTCAGTGGTCATGCTGTCCCTGTGGTGCAAGTGTGCAAATGGCTTGGCTGCTCCCCAAGATTCCAGGTACCGGGTCATGCGGACAGAAGCTCTCATTTTGGCTCCATCAAGAGTGTGTCGAGGTCTAATGTGGTGCTGAGGGCTTCGCTTCTCTCCCTGGTTGACAGAGAATAAAAGGTGATATCAGCCTTGGTGTTCGTTACCTTCTGAAGCAGTAATGCATCATCTGGTACCACATATCTGCATGCTTAGGAACTTAAAAATGGAGAGATGCTAAGAACCTGCAATTCTTAATGATATTGCTGGGAAATATCAGAGACTTATTTCTGAAGAGCGGGAAAGATTTGCAATGCAAACATTATGTATTTGTAGGCATCAGTAATAGCTCTGATCAATATCTTATGGTAGTAAATTATTCAATAAAGAGATTAGTGGTCCTGCTCAAAAATAACTCTGACTGGCCACAAAATAAAAGTACTACTAACCTTAGGATTGATTACAAAGTAAGTCTTAACATTATGCTCTTTCAGATATGGGTCCCTCACATCTCCATCCCCATCTTCCACTTTGTAAGCTCCATTCAAATGTGCCAGGGTGACTGAGGTGATGTGAACACGGCTGAAATTATATTTCAAAAGAATGACAGAATCACAAATACCAATCAAAAGCATAATTTGAACCTGATCAACCTTTTTTATTAGCTTTTGTATATACTTTTTATATGCTACTTACTTCATTTACAGTCCTTCTAATCTCATTTTTAGAAGTTCTAACCAGCATAAATCTAAAGGTTTCCATCCACAAAATCTACTCCTTAAATCGCAGGAAATACTGAGTGCCTGTTGGTTTTTTTTTTTTTCTCCTAAAGACAGCACCAAGAATTAGTTCAGGTTTCTCCATGAGGGCTGATGGCTGAAGACATGGTACCTATGCATTTCTCCATGATACAAAAATCTACGTTAATGTGGTTAAGGTTAACAGCAAAGCCTCTTACCCTGGGACTCCTCCAGCTTCCATGTGATTTGCCAGAGTAACATCATGGGACCACACATCGTACTGCCACTTCTGTAGCCCAATAACGCCACAAAGCACATTCCCAGAGTGCACTCCTACGCGCATATTAATATCAACTCCAGTTGCGTCTCTCACTTTCCTGTAGTTGAGAGGAAAATCTGTGTTAATATACATAATAGAGCCTTTGTTTTCATTTAATTTACCAGTCAAATTAGCATTAGAAAACATTTATTTCCTTTCAGCATTGCCTCCATTCTTTTTATGCTAGGATTATTTTTATGTATTACCTTTCCTATTATCTATATTTGTAACTATTTGTAGTAAATATTAATTTTCAAGTCTATGTGTGAAGTCCCTTCTTTTATACTTATCTGAAATTATTTGGGAGGGCTGAACTAAGTAGTGGAAATGTTCAGTCTCATGGTAGAACCTAGGGACTATTTTTGGTCTACTGGCAGCTTTTGGAAATCTGGAACTACTGTTATGTGCCCTTCTACCTGAAGACCCTAGTATCTACGTTGTAGACCTTCTCCTATCTGTCATATCTGAGAGAAAGGATGAAAAATGCAGCACCTCAGGATATTTTACAGGTTGGTGGCTCACACCCTTTTTGGGGATATGGGCTCAGTGCCATTCAGGCTGTGGAGAACATAGCAGCCTTCCACATGCTCGGTGAAGGCTGTACCCACTAGATGGCTATACAAAGAATGAGAGGCCACACTCACTGTCCAGACCACATCTAAACCTTGACCTTTCCAGTAACTTTAGACAGAGCTGAAGTATCTGTTCACCCCAACCCAAATCTCAGAAGAGCCCTACACATAAAATAGACATCAACTTTTCCAGAAGAAGCTCTTCTGAATCACAGGTGCGTGACTAAAGTCAAACAACCAGAACATTTTCAGACATATGTCATATAGGTACCTAACTACATATGTAAAGAGTTATAAAATTAATTCAGATGCCTACAGGCTTATACAGTTCTAAGAAATGGGAAGATTGTAACTTAAGTGGACTTGTGTATTTAAGTCTCAGCTCACGTGGACCAAAGCCTAACCAGTAATAAGGAACATGTACATACATTTATCTTGGAAGAATTCAGAGCGTTGATGGAAGGAACAACTATAGAGTAAGAAACTCAAATGGCTCCTGTATATGAGTCAGGTTCATAGTTGTAGCAACATCTTCAGTCTCAATGATGAGAATCATGAGCTCTGTACCTTCTGAATTACAGAATTAAACTGGCCTGTTTCTCTTCTTTTTTTTTGAAAGGGAACATAGAACTTAACAGGCTTAATTTGATATGGTAAATCCTACATTTAAGCAGTAGTTCTCAAGTGTTCTTTTTCTGGGAAATGAAAATAACAGGAGCATGACTGAAAGTATTTTGTTAAACTGTGTTTTGAAGTTATTAAAAAGAAGAGAGGAGAAGTTTTTTTAATTCCTTCAGTCCTATCAAGTGTTTATTGGTATCTTTTCACTTTGCCATTTTACACTGCTCTCATGTAGCTGACATACTTGAAAATGAGCAGCTTGTAAATGATCTTTGCATGACAAACGCCACTTTGCACAAGGAATATGACCCAAGCTTAACACTTTGAGGGGGAAAAAAAACGTGTTTTACAAAACTGGGCAAAGTGGAAGAGGAACATTTAACCTCTAGGAGTGCTTGTCAAAAGGCTGTCTGCTATATTCTGCAGAGCAAGCCATAAAGTCTGCTTTATAATAAGTTCTCGAGACTTAAGGAGGGGAGGAAGTAGACTATGTTCCAGAACTGAATCTTCTCTTCCATCTCACAAATTCAAGAAAACATAGAAGATTTTAAATTAGAAGTATTACTCTGGACCAAATTAGGGTTTACTACTTCTATCCTGTTAATCTAAATAGCAAACTGCTTTATTTCAGTAACTTAGGCACTGAGGGGTCAGTTTGCACCTCAGTGACTGAATATAACAAAACCTCATATGTGACAAAAAAGATATTTTACACAGAGTGAGTCAAACATATATTGAGTGACACACTTCCAACAGCAAGAGTATTACTACTTCTAGTTTTATATGTGTTAACTGACAAAACTTTCTAGAAACTCCTCACCTAAAAAATTAATTACAGAAAAGTTGAAACTAAACCTAAACCTGGGGTCGAGTAAGACAGGCATATTTAATTGCTTCTTTAACAACATGGGAAGTAGGCGTCTCAGCCCAGGAATCTGTAAGCCATTAGAAATGTCTTTGGTAGACAAGCTCAGTATCACTCCATGGGCTCAGGGCTTAAGGTATCTTAATTGTGAAGGGGCAACTGCTCCTGACCACCACTGAACTCCAAACTCAGGAGAAGCCAGGAGCTCTGGCCTCTCACAGAGCCGTTTGACTAACAGGCAGGTGGCAGTATCATGGCTCTGAAAAAAGCAAAGCTTCCAAGTCCTAAGTGATGTCTATTGGGATATTTACCATCTTGGAATCACAGAATCACAGAATAGTTGAGGTCAGAAGGGACGTCTGGAGATTGTCTAGTCCAACTCCTCCTCAAAACAGGGCCAGCTACAGCAGGTTGCTTAGGGCCATACCAGTTGGATTTTTAGTATCTCCAAGGCTGGAAACTCCACAACCTCCCTGGGCAACCTGTGCCAGTGATCAGTCGCCCTCACAGTGAAAAAAGTGTTTCCTGATGATGTCCAGAGGGACCCTCCTGCATTTGAGTTTGTGCCCATCATCTCTTGTCCTGTCACTGGGCACCACCAAAGTGGCTGGCTCCATTCTCTTTGCACTCTCCCTTCAGGTACTTAAATGCATTGGTGAGATTTTTCTCCTTCAGCTTTCTCTTCTCCAGGTTGAACAGTCCCAGCTCTCTCAGCCTTTCCTCATATGAGCAATGCTCCAGGCCCTTAATCATCTTTATGGTGTAGTGATGAGATAGCCTGGCACAACCCAACATCTTAAAACATTTCTTTGCTAAGGCTGAGATCAAGATTACCATGCTGGACCTTGTAGTAAAACACAGCAACTACTGCAGGTCTGAATGTTTCAACCAGAAGCACAGCAACAGATAGAACAGCAACAACCTTTTTATTATGGAATATTTAACAAAAAGTTCTGCACTTACTTAATGGCTTCACACATGTCCAGTCCCATTTTCACACAATTCTTGGCATGATTTTGAAGAGATATAGGTAGTCCAGAAACACAGTAATAGCAGTCACCTAGGATTTTAATTCTCATACATTCATTTTCCTGCGGGAAAAAGCAAGGTGAGATGGTCACTTTCAATTTGAATTACATAAATGAAGGGTTACTGTTACAAAGACTGACTTAAATGATATTAGCAAAATCATTCTACTTAAGCTTGTTTCAGTAGAGAAGGATTTGGCTTGCTAAAAAAGAAGTGCTGTCAGTTTTTTAGGGATGATTCCTCCATCTGTTATGGTCCTTAATGGGCAAAACCAGGAAGCAAGTTCACTGCAAACCATTACCCACAGTGTGGTTCACAGTGTAAAGAACTGAGTCAAAGTATCATGTACTCAATCTAAATAAAGTCTTTTTGTTTGAAATATGAAATCAAAAGACCACATTTACATCTTTGACAAAGTACTATGCAATACTTCCTGAAACTAGCAATCATAATCTTATTTCTATCTTTTGAACTCTAAGGCAATGCAAAGATATTTTTTTTTTAACCAATACTGGAGAATAGTTTTGGAACTAATAAAAAACACAGAAAATTTTTACCTGTTTTAGTGTTTCTGATTTTACTTTCACACACAGCATGAAGTTTGATGTGATTTTTATAAAAATGACACCTAAATAAACAGAAGAAAATCTTCTGACTGTATTTGAATCCTTTCTTGAGTAATCAAGAAGCTGTGGTCAGTAATTAAAAGTGCTTCAATCAATATTGTCTCTCTTGTCCTCCAGTCTCTTAAATGCTTTTTCAGAAATCAGAAAATTGACTGTATTACTCTTCTATCTTGAGTTTCTTAATTCTTGTTATTGTAAAAAATTTATTTAAAAGAGTTGTTCATCTGCCATTAAGCTTTATCAGGCTCCATGAGCTGTCTCTATTGGTCCTATCAGAGAGAGCTATCTTGGGTTTCACAGACTGTCACACTGGCAGAAACACACTGTTGCACTCAGACCAGAGCCAGATTTTTTCTTCATACGTTTCAAGTCTAACCTTCCTGCCAAAGCCTCAGAAATGCTGCCTGAAGGTAGAAGAGTCCCCAAGAAGAAAAAATATTTCAAAAGTTACTTACTTATTCAAGCTAACAATAGCAGCCCAGTAGGAACCCACCTTTGCAATCTGATCAAACTTGCCAAACAGCTCATTTAGCATGTGCACCAATTCCCCTGGCGAGCAGTCACTGGCCAGGCGAGTGAACCCCACGATATCAGCATACAAGATGCTACAACAGAAATGAACAGAAACTGGGTCACAGTTTCCTTCTGCAGAACTCAGATTTATCAATCAACAGCAAAACCTGAAAGTAGGCATTCTGGACTTCACAGAGCTATGCCTGTACCCAAAACAGCCACTATTAAATGTGGAGCAATAAGTATAACTGTATTTATAGGTAAACCTACATTTACCTTTATAGGCATTACGTTTAGAGGTAATATATACCTATATTTACCTTTATAGGTATTACCTTCACAGGTATTACCTTTATAGGTATACCTATATTTATAGGTATTTATAGGCATTCTATACCTGTATTTGTTACAGTGTATTAAAAAAAACAGAAATCTTTTTCCTACTCAGAAATCGGCAATATAATAATAATGCCAATTATTTCAATAAAAATGTTTATTGTCAGAAATTGCTTAATAACTTTTTATCATTGTAGACATTTTCTGTCTAGAATTACCTGTCAGTGATATGCAGCATGGAAGTCTTTGTTCACTTGTTACTCAGACTATTAAATTCAAGCTTGACTGCTAAGATATTCAAGCCATACACTATGTTTCTATTCACCAAGAAAACGTGACCAATTCATAGAATCAGGCTAAGGAAAAAGTATTTGTGCTCACAAGTGACAATGAACTTCCTCAAAGTCCTGCAATACTTGCTTTAAAAAAGTAATTTCTAAGAATGTCATTCAAATTAACTTGTCTAATTAAAAAAAACCAGGCAAAACAACCTGTAAAGATGAAAGAATATTTGAAATACATGGTGAATTATTTTTCTAATGTCGACAAATTTCTAATTAATAAATAATTAGATTTGTTAGCAGAATATTTTATCTCAGATACTGTGTAAAATACCTATGTGATACAGCTGCCTCTATTTACATTATATAAAACCTGAGAAATTGCTCCAGTTAAAGAGAATTACAAATTTAGAATAACATAACTGACACGAATTACAATTTTGACTAGTACACATGAAAGCAGGATTTGGTACCTTAACCTGAAAAATTAAGACATTATAAAGAAAGCCTGTTAATGCGTGGCTTTTTCTAAACAACAAACTGGAACATGGAATTGTTAGCATTTGATCAAATTAATGGATACTAAACATTGTTGCTGAAAAACATATTAAACCAATTATTTTCTTAATTGCTCTCTTAACACTTTCTTTTCAAAATTTTTCTGAATGTTGTTGATACAGTTTATTAGAGTACAATACCTTACATTGGTGTGCCTTTTGACATACAAATTGTGGAAGTTGTTGGTGTTTTCCATCTGGCCTGCCTTGGGACCTTGTAATCGCTGAATAATCTCTGCCTTCATTTCCATGGCAATGTGAGCAGGCAGTAAAGAAAGTAGAAGACGCTCCTAAAATTTAAAATGAAATGTCCACAACTTCTTTAACGAAATTAGCATGGAAGCAATACTGTGCAACGCATACACTACTTTCAATACCCTAGAACATGTCAATGAGGCTTGCACTCAGGCATTTGCCTGGTATGGCCTCCAAATTAATCAGTTCCTTGAAGAATGTGACAGAGATATACACATTTCCAAGTAATATCCAACTTCTTCAAGGTTTTGTGTGTATTAGAAAAAGCTTAAGCTAAACTTAATGTCTGAAGAAGCCATGTACAGTAATCTATTTGATATGTGAGCAGAATGCAGGAAATACGGATTAGCAAATAAAGCAAGAGCTGCAAGGACTGTTCAGAAGACTTCAGGGAAATGCAGTCCAGTTCAGGCAAGAGTAGGCTAAAGCTTTTTTTTTTAATGTATTTTAAGTGTTTAGTCATAGTTTTAGCAGTTGTTAGACTGCAAATGAAAAGATAAAATCAGGACACAGAACATATTGAAAATGTTGGACTTTTGCAGACTAATCTGGTACATACTCTCCCCTTACTTTAACAAGGCATTTGACAAACTAAAGTTTTTTGAAAATATTAATCTAAAAGGAAATTGAGTATTTTTTTTAAAAAAACTACATATTTTTCCTTATCTTTTGTTGGTATTATACTCATGGTCTTCTCCTGGTGAAAGTCTCTTACATCAGTACATTTTAATTTTGCCCATTTTACCTGTGACAGCTTTTCACTGAGTTCCTACTTCTCTGGAAAACTGGATCAACAAGGGAAAAGCTAGAATGCAAAAAAAAAAACCCCAACCTTCCTGCTTTGATCATACTCCACCTCAAAACTGAACAGAAATTTCCCATTTTCTCATAGGCAGAGCAGAGCAGCTAATTCTGGCTAAGCACAAAATCCAGAACCCTGAACCAGTGACGAGGGGGAAGGCAGCTGTAAAAGCCCATGACAGAGTCAGAGGAACAAACAGCTAGGCCATAAAAGATGATCACCTCAAAATGTGCATGGTTTGCAGGTGCTCCTCATAGGGATGTGTCTTCTTTGGTTCACAATATGCATTTTTGCAGAGTTTTTAGTTCTATTCGTGAAGGTACCAGAAGAAGTGTAACCATTAATCCAATGCTCAGCCTGGGATAATTACTCCTGCTTAGGTCTAATGACCTTGAGTAGAGCATGGCAATAAGAGGGCTATAGACTCTCTGGTATTTGCAGCTACCTTGGCTATCTATCTCTGTCACATATAATAAAGACTTCCTATTCTTCATAGCATTTGTGTACCTGTGAGCATAGCATTAACTTACAGGAGGCCCTATGAAACTGATGCTGCACACACTTTGTAAAAAAACTCTATTTCAGTGAATCAAGATAGAGTCTTGCTTTGTTGCTAAGTACTATTGAACTAATCACTTTTCACTTTAGTGAGATTTAAAAATAATTTTGATTCATGTATGTATGTATGGACTGCTCTTTATTTTGCATACTAAGGCATATCACATAAACAGTAAGACAAGTCATGAAGTAATGTTCAAGGTAAAGCATACCTGTCTCTAGTCTGGCTAAAGGAGGCAAGAATAAAACAAAAAATGTACTGTTTTCCTACTGCTAGGATCTCAAGATTTGACACATTGTAACTGAGAAGACTATATACAATTGACTTTTCATCAAAATGTTAATGCAGCTTTATTTCTTAAATGCAAGATTAATTTAGTAAGTTTAGGCATTTTAGCAAATAAACATCCAACAGGCTGATATATTTTCATTTCTAATGTAGTCCGCTGGTCCCTGGTGGAGGTATTTTGCTAACTTATAAAGAATGCCTGCAAAACCAGTGGATTTTCTCCATAATGAAAGCTTACTTTTGCAAGTTGCTCTTTATCTAACAGAAAGTTGCTGGTTTGTGATGTACGGGATGGGTCAGGACTTGTTACTAATTATCATTAAATAGTTAACAAAGAGGTAAGTGCTCTTTGCTCCAATTTTACATTACTGTGCTCCTGTTGTACCGTGGCTAGTAAATGCAAGCTAGTTCACTATCTTCCTACAACTGTTACGATTCCAGACAGGCAGTGAGGCAGACACTCAACATCCAGGTTACTGCTCATGTCTTTGAAACCCAGAGAGGCTGGCAAAAGCTCAAAGAGAAAAGCAACAAAAGTTTTCAAGAAAGCAACAGAAAAAGTTTTCATAGGAAGCAGCATGAAGTCAACTACAAGCTAAAGAATCCTAAGAGGAAAGGGAAAACAGAATGTCCTCGTTTTGTAGGGGACAGCAGGAGAGACGAGGTATTTCCCCTCCAAAAAGGAGGCCAGACCACTATTCCCTTCTGCTCAAATGTCCTGGTGAAGCTGTTCACCACACCAGAAATTCCCTCCAAAGAATGTTTTCCTTCCACCATTGCCAGTGTACAAAAGAGAAGGTTACAACCAGAGGTGACTTTAGAGAACTGCAATTGGTGAAGCACACTGCAAAATATCCTGCCGTGCCCAGCTCCACCCAAACGCTGCAGCTGACCTCTCCATCACACAGGCTGCGAGCGCTCACGTTTCAATCCTGCAGTTACCACCTGTGTGATAATGTGTTATCAAGTCACATATTACATTTCATGCAGATTGTTAATTTTGGTTTCTTTCACTAAAAGACAATTGTGAAAGCAGCTGAATCTCAACTATTAATGAAGACGGTGGCTGGGCTGGTCAGCTAGCCAAATACAAAATGGTTGCAAATACAGTGTTCCCTCTCTTTCTGCTAAAAGATCCTAAGGAAAGCAAAGCGTTCAAGAACAGCTCTTCCTTCACATTTTGTCATCTCTCGTGGCTAAAAAGAGCATAGTTGAAGGATTAAAACCAATTACTAACCAGATTGTAGTGCCTGATGTTGTGCACTGAAATTTCTGCAGACTGGAACAGTGTGAGGAACACAGCAAATCAAGACTGCTGCTAATGATGGCTTTTTATTTGATAATACATTCTGTACTATTCTCCCACAAAGACAGAAAATCTGCACTTCAAAACCTAGGTGAACCAACATACAAGACCCTGACTTTAAGACAAAACACTTGCCTATTTGTAGTAGACAGTGAAGCCACTGTAAAGAAAAAAAGCCAAAGTTTTTGTAAGAAAAAAAGCCAAAGTAATTCTGAAAGCAGGTCAAGATGCAGCATTTAAAAGTCTTCAGACTAAAAGTAACAGTACCTGCTTCTGGTGAAAGAGAAACTGCTGTGCTATGGCAATAATGAAAATCCCCTCACAAATGTCTTTCCCTGAAATATTACCAACATGACCTTACAGCCAGTACACGTGATTTATGCACACAAGACTATTTCCAGACTGCCCATGTTCTCTGGGGCTACGCTGTTCCCTCAGCACTCAAATCACTGGTAGCTGAGACCTTTAAGTCCTAGGGATAAAAGACAGAGCACACAATCCATGCTGAGTACACCATTACAGCATCTTTCAGTACTGTAGGGTTAGGTACTCCTTTCTTCTCTGAACAAGTCCATCTGGATCCCAGTAGATGGCTAGCAAGTAGTCATCCTTCCTGGATTCTCTAACTGAGGATTTTCAGTGGTACCTGTCAAACTGTTACTTGAGTTCCTGTTCTCTCAGACTCTCACATCCAAGTTGACTTCCTTGTCAGAATTTTCCCTGAATTATACAGATGACTTTAGCAGTCATTCCCAGTTACTCATCACTCCCCTAATGCTTGATAAACTCTAGATGTTTTTTTAGCTAGAGTAAGTTAGCATATCTCAGTTAAGATCATAGCACTGTGTTTGTTTTTGCAAGGTGGCAATTGCATTTGCAGTATCTTTCACAATGGAGGTCATGCTGTTGTTATGCAGTAAGCAAGCAAAATATCCTCAAATGCTCAGTACAGTACATTTTCTTAAGTGCGTATTTCACAGATCAAATTCTTGTTGGCCTGAGGCAATAATGCTTTATTTCTTTGCTCCTTCCTGTTTTGTTATGTAAACTACCAATTCTGATTCACTCATTTGTACAAGATTACATGACTATCAACTCTTTACCAAAGCATAAAAAATTCTAAGAATTTATAGATTTAAAGGTCAAATATTCTTCCATCTAGCCTGATCTCTTGAATAATATAGACAAGGGAATGTCATCATGGGGAAACAAAGGTATTCCGATAGGGCTCACTACATTAAAATTAGCTTAGCACCTTACTCTCAATGGAGAGAAACCATCCTTCAAGGCAATTCACAGAATCTAATACTGAATTCCTGTAGGGGTCAAGTCTCTCTCCCTCTCTCTCTCTCCCTCCTCCCCCCCCCCCCCCCCCCCCCCCCCCCCCCCCCCCCCGCGGCGGGGGCGTTTCTTCTAAAAAAACAACATC